ATGACACAGAGATGTCGAGGCAAACACCAGGCCATGTCACCCTCGGATTACAATCTCAGTGCCTCCAACCTATTCTTCTCTTGGCCTGGCCGGCCCAGCTTGAGAAAAACAATCGCGATTCCCACGCTTACATTTCCCCAAAAAAGGGACTTGACCATGTCAACCCATTGTGTGCGTTTCAAAAGCATCTTCCGATCTTCGCTGAAGTCATGTGACTGTTGCCAGAGGAACGACCCAGGCTCACGATGGGCAGGGATGGGCAGTAAAAAAAAAAAAAAAATCTCTCTTCAGGTCCCAGGCACTGAAGAAAGCAAACGGCTTGGAGACGGCGAAGGAACAGGCTGTGACAGAAAGCCATCGTCCCCGAGCCGCTAAATTACAGCTCCCAAGGTCCTTTGGGGGACAGAGTTGGAGGACAGTGGCCTAGCTCCCCTCAATACACAACATCAACAACACACAATACATACTTTTTAAAAATATATGTTATTGATTTTTACAGAGAGGAAGGGAGAGGGATAGAAAGTTAGAAACATCGAAGAGAGAGAGCCACCGATCAGCTGCTTCTTGCACACCCCCTACCGGGGATGTACCCGCAACCAAGGTACATGCCCTTGACCGGAATCGAACCTGGGACCTTTCAGTCTGCAGACTGACGCTCTATCCACTGAGCCAAACCGGTTTCGGCACAATACATAGTTTTTAAAAACACCAAGGAACACTCTACTTCCTGCTGTAAAAGTATGCTGGTTACATAACAGAACACGAGTCGTTTACTAATTAGCATGCACGAGTGACATCATGCCTGGCGTGGCTACATGAGTTCTGGTTTTTTGTTTGTTTTTTTATTCAGGTAGAATCTGTGGAGGCCACATGCAGATGTAAGAAAGCCGGGAGAGGAATGTGCAATAGACCGAACACGGGGCAATAGAATCACAACCAGCGCCAGGATGGGTGCATTCGTAACCATCTATGTTGCTGATCGAAAATGAATCAGAGAGCATGGAGCAATGCTCACGGAGGAGGTGAGGGACGCCCATCCTGTTTCCTTCTTTTAACCTCCCGTTTTTCTTGAGCTTAATATTAATAGATGAGAGGCCCTGTGCATGAATTCGTGCACCAGTGGGGGTCCCTTGGCCTGGCCTGCAGGATCGGGCCAAAACCGGCTCTCTGCCATCCCCAAGGGGTCAAGGATTGCCAGAGGGCACAGGCCAGGCCGAGGGACCCTACTGGTGCACAATTGGGGCGAGAGAGGAACACGGAGGTTGGCCGGCCAGGGAGGGATGGAGGAAGGGCTCCAGAGGGTGTCCGGCCGGCCCATCTCGCTCAGTCCTGATCTGTCGGACCCTAGCAGTAAGCTAACCTGCCTACAGGGTGCCCCGCACATCGGCCCTGATCGCCAGCCAGGCCTAGACCCTACCTGTGCACAAATTTTGTGCACAGTGCCTCAAGTTATTTAATGATCTCCCACTGCGTTTGCACCCAACAGCTATTAGCATCACCTCTTGCTAACAGCCCACCTGATCAGAAAGGTTCAGAGAACTATCCCATCACCGCCTGAGACGGGGCAGAATGCTTATTTTTAGCTTTCTGGCATTTGATCGGAAATGCTTTCAGCCGGGAATGACTTCAATAAGAGGTGTGCATCCACAGGAGAGAAAAGTCAAATATTAAAGGAAACCTCCTTGCTCTCATCTAAAGAGTGGTTCTTTATGTTTTTAAAGAAAACGTCAGTTCTATTTTTACTTTTCTTTCGGATTCTCGAAGGCTTAGGCTAAGAGGAACATAGGTCTGGTATCAAAAAGCTTTAAGAACCAAAAATGTCCTACCTATAATTCATTAATCTTTTATTTAAAAAAAAAAAAAAAAAATATATATATATATATATATATATATATATATATATATATATATATATATATATATATTGATTGTAGAGAGAAAGGGAGGGGAGAGAAAAAGAGACAGAGAGAGAGAAAGAGAGAGAAACATCAATGATGAGAATCATTGATCAGCTGCCTCCTGTACGCCCCCTACTGGGGATCAAGCCAACAATCCAGGCCTGTGCCCTGACTGGGAATCCAACTGTGACCTCCTGGTTCATAGGCTGATGCTCAACCACTGAGCCACACAAGCTGGGCTGGGCCGAGCATCTTAAATCAACTCTACTCCTTTCTCTGTAGTCTTTACAGGAGCGAAATGGGATTGGCTCAGAAACAAACCAACCAACCAACCAACCATCTTGTGCACGATTCCCATAGAAAATGTCTCAAAGAAGAGAACATATTTGCAAATAACACCACTGATAAAGGTTTAATCTCTAACATCTACAGACAGCTGATACAACTAAATAAAAGGAAGATGAATGATCCAATTAAGAAATGGGCAAGGGACCTAAATAGAATATTTTCAAAAGAAGACAGAAGGAAGGCCAAAAGGCACATGAAAACATGCTCAAAGTCACTAATTATACGAGAGATGCAAATCAAAACAACAATGCGGTACCATCTCACACCTGTCAGAATGGCCAACATCAACAAATCGACAAACGACAAGTGTTGGCGAGGTTGCGGAGAAAAAGGAACCCTCGTGCACTGCTGGTGGGAATGCAGACTGGTGCAACCACTGTGGAGAACAGTGTGGAGTTTCCTCAAAAAACTGAAAATGGAACTCCCATTTGACCCAGTAATCCCACTCCTAGGAATATATCCCAAGAAACTAGAAACACCAATCAGAAAGGATATATGCACCCCTATGTTCATAGCAGCACAATCTACAATAGCCAGAATTTGGAAACAGCCTAGGTGCCCGTCAGCAGATGATTGGATCAAAAAACTATGGTACATCTACACAATGGAATACTATGCTGCCATAAAGAAGAAGGAATTCTCATCATTTGCAGCAACCTGGATGGAATTGGAGAACATCATGCTGAGTGAAATAAGCCAATCAATGAAAGAGAAACACCACATGACCTCACTCATTTGTGGATAATAAAGAGCATTATAAACTGATGAACCAAAAGATAGATATAGAGACAGTAAAGCAACAAGCAGATTGTCAAATTACAGCGGGGAGGGGAGGAGGATCTGGGGGAGATAATAGATCAACCGAAGGACTTGTATACATGCATATAAGTACAACCAATGGACATAAAACTATGGGGAGGGAGGGGCTATGGGGGAGGGAGGGAGGGGGGCAAAAAAAAATCATTAAAATATGTAAAAAAAATAAATTAAAAAAAAAAATAAATAAAAAATAAAATAAAAAAAAAAGAAAATGTCTCAAAGAAGAAACTGAAGAACAACTACCTAGATTGTTTCTTGGTGACAAAATGTGACAAAAGGGGAGTTAGGACAAAAATCTTACATTTATGCAGAGCATTCAAATGTTGCCACGGAAACCGGCTGAGCAGTTATGCAAATGACCCTAGAGTTCCTAGAAATCTGAACCAGAGAATAAATGAAAGAGGGGGGACAGGGGCGGGGGAGAATGGCTAATTGGGGATATACGTTCTGTGGTGATCAGTTATACTACCCTCTTTGAAAATCATGTAATGGGGTAATTACAATGTTTGGGGAGAAGGAGTGGAGATACTGGGAGGGGGAGAAGGACATCAGTGATTCTCTCTCATCATTGATGTTTCTATCTGTCTGTCCTTCTCTCTTCCTCTCTGAAATAAAAAAAACCCAAAAAAACCCAAAAAATAAATCAATAGCAAATTTAGATGCTTAGCAAGCACTGCACGAAGCAGACCGCCACCCATGAAAGAGAAAACAGTGTCTGGCCCTAAGTGGATAGAGCGTTGGCCTGCGGACTGAAGAGTCCCAGGTTCGATTCCGGTCTAGGGCATGGACCTGGGCTGTAGGCACATCCTAGTAGGGGGTGTGCAGGTGGCAGCTGATCGATGTTTCTAACTCTCTATTCCTCTCCCTTCCTCTCTGTAAAGTATCGATAAAATATATTTAAAAAAGAGGAAAAAAAGACAACAGTGTCTGGGCCCAGGCCGCTCGGCTATAAGGAAAGCTAACGCTAAAAATAAAACCCCTGAAACGCTGCCCTTTCTGCTAGCTTGCGGGGGCCCTAAAATGAGGACGAGCTGGCTCTTCCTCTTGATCAGATCCTGGGATCCAGCCACGTTGGAAAGTAAATCATGTCTCGACTCCTCATGGCTCAGCAGCAGTTAGCGTGAGAAACATCACTGCCCAGGGCGGTGCCTGAGAGTCCTCGGCTGTGTCTAATCATCCGTGTGGCTACTCCACCAGGAAGGAGAGGATGACCACGGAGAGGGGTGAAGAAGGTGAAGAATCCGTCACGGCAGAGACAAACCAAATATCTAGTTGATCAGGGGATGGCTCAGCTGCTCAGTTCCCAGCTGGGTTGACTGTGCGGTGACTCTATGCCACTTACCCTGTCCTTTTGGCCAAGAGGTGACACAAATGACCATAAAAACCCAAACTGACTGTTTTTTGGGTGTTTTTTTTTTGTTTGTTTGTTTTTTAAATATATTTTATTGATTTTTACAGAGAGGAAGAGTTAGAAACATGGATGAGAGAAAATCATTCATCAGCTGCCTCTTGCACACTCCCCACTGGGGATGTGTCCGCAGCCAAGGCACATGCCAATGACCAGAATCGAACCTGGGACCTTTTGGTCCACAGGCTGATGCTCTATCCACTGAGCCACACCGGTTTCGGCCAAAAGAAGGTTTTTCTTTCTTTTTGGCAAATGTTCATGTCTCTTGTTTATCTGGTTAATGTTTCTCATTTTGTTCCTGAATTTGTTTCAGAAACGATCCTGAAGAACAGCCAGTATAGTCAAGGCGCTTTCTCCCCTATGTGCTGCTCATCCATTTCCCTTTTGCATTCTAGAATTTTATTTGGGATGGCATACAAACAACATAGTCTAAGCGTCATTTCTGCCTGGAGACCTTAGAATTGTTTTGCAAAGCAAAAGATCCGGGCAACACGGAGCTACCCAGAGCTGCACGGATGCACACTTACCAGAGAAGACGCTGGGGATCTTGGAAAGGAAGCTTTTGACCGTTCGAATGGGAATCCCGTTTTTCTCGTCTTGCATGCGGGCTATGACGTCTTCCATCTAAACAACGACAACATGATTAGAACCTTTCAGAAGCTGAATTCAAAAAAAAAGAAAACAAAGAAAAACAACAAAAAACAGTTTTCATGACCATTTGGTACATCCGTCATGCTAGACTCGGAAACATGAATATTTTTAAGTTTGGTCACGAAGGATGGAGAAAACAGCAGGGAGAGCGGCCGTTGGAGGTTCCATCAACCTACCAAGAGGAGCTGTGGATTCTGCCTCTCTCCTCGTGTTTGCATGCTCTGCTCGGAAAGGTTGCGATGAAAGTGCTTATTTCTGTAGCTGTCAGAAATCACAGACATGGCAACATGCACCCTTCGTTAATAGTATCAGCTCTGCTGAGCTCACCGAGGGAGAAAACAGAAGCCCTAAGAGCCACCGTTTGGGCTTCCTCTTTGGCAAAGACAGACGAGAAAATCCAGTTCCTAAAAGCTCAGGCCTGCCACATGGGCCGAGTATAAAAACACATCCCCTGCACTCACTGACATTCCCTTACGCATTCATCAGACCATTTTTCTATCACTCACTTGGTTACCTGCTTTCTCACTATGAGCAAGAGCCAGTTAGAGAGCGTTAAACACAGACCAACTAACAGAACAAGGTAGGCAGCAACAGGGATGAGGGGTTATAAGAAGTAACTCTAGTAAATGATAAAATTTGGGGGGGGCAATTTAAGTCCCAAAGACTCCAGTATCTCAAAAGAAGATGTATATTACCCATTACCTAGATATGAGCAATAGATCTATCTATAATCTATCTAGCTATCTATCATCTATCTATATCTATCATCTATCTATCTATCTATCTATCTATCTATCTATCTATCTATCTAAGACCTAGATGCCACTGAGGTTGTAAAGGATCAGCCTGTATTTTATAAGCCTGTTTCTGACAGAGGGAGAGAGAACTCCAGCCCAAGATAACAGAACACGTGACCGTGAGCAGCAGACTAAGGGCATGCCTTGGTGACTTTCTCTGAGTCTCATTTTCTTTACCCTTCACAGAAGAGGCAGGTGATCCATATGATTTCTTCTATCTTCTAGCGGCACTATTAGTGAGGTCCGGAAATAATCATCCGTGTTCAGAACTACAGAGTGCTCATCACTCAAAAGGGCAGGTTCCCGACCAGAGTCGGAGAGACGAGTAAATGAGATTGAACAGGGCCTTTTTCTAATCTCTCTGTTTAGAACTGTCCTTGCCCTGTAACATCAGTGCCAACAGCAGAGTGAAATGGACCCGTTACTCTGTTCCTCTAAGATTCCATTTTTGTCCCACCTGTAATCCTATAGAATAAAACCCTAATATGCAAATCGACCAAAGAGCAGAGTGATCGGCCGCTATGACACTCCCTGACCATCAGGGGGTGGAAGCTCAACACAGGAGCTGCCCCCTGGAGGTCAGTGCACTCCTACAGGGGGAGCACCACTCAGCCAGACGCCGGGCTGAGGGACCACCCCCCTCAGTGCACGAATGTCGTGCACCGGGCCTCTAGTATAGAGATAATAATAATAATAGTGTGCATCTTGTTACAGGTGATCATTAATGGAACAATGCTCAGTAAATATTTGCCAGAATTCTATCATCATCATCATCATCATCATCATCATCATCATGTGTCTTCCCTCATCACGGCACTAGAATGCCATAGACGCTTTCCATTATAACTCAGTTGGCAAAGACAGCTGCGGTCGAATGCCAAGCATTTACTGATGTAATAAATTGCCAGCCACAGAGCAGACGAAGATGGACAAGCTTAGATTTCTTGTAGAAGACCGATCGTGTGCTGGCCTCTGAAGATAGGGGGCTTGATTCGAAGAAACGTCGGGAAGAATGATTCTTGCATCTAAGTAAGAACTATGAAAATGGTGGGGGGAAAAGTAGCATTTAGAAGGGGAAATGAGACTGCATCCATGTTTGACAAAATGAACATGTTTCTGCTCTCCGATCCGCTTGATGAATGTGCCTCTTGAAGTTCATTAGCGGATCCAAATATTGAATTGAATGGAGATGAAATCCTCTTTGCAAAAGCAATCCTGTATCGGTGCAAACTAATGAGCTCTTTTCCGCGGAGAGCAAAAACAATGGCCTCTTGCAAAGTGATTTTGAGAATATCTACAGCTCAATTTGTTTTAAATGCTTTGTGCCTCTATTACGAGACTCTTCACACGGCAGTTACGGTGCCTCTTAAACTGTCTTCCCTTGGACTTGAACTTCCTGAGGAGAGAAGCCTCCCCTTGCCCATTTGTGTATTGCTACGATGGGAAGTGCTGGCCTGCAGGGAGGCTCAGAAATAAAGGAAGAGTCATGAAATTTTAATGAATGGCACACGTTTTGTTTTTCTGAGCGATCCAAAGCAAAAATTCAAATTAAATTAGGATTTTGTCTTCAGATGTGGGAAATACTTTAAAAAAATCTAACCTAACCGATTTGGCTCAGTGGGTAGTGCATCAGCCTGCGGACTGAAGGGTCCCAGGTTCAATTCCAGTCAAGGGCATGCACCTTGATTGTGGGCACATCCCCAGTGGGGGGTGTGCAGGAGACAGCTGATCGATGTTTCTCTCTCATCGATGTTTCTAGCTCTCTATCCCTCTGTCTTCCTCTCTGTAAAAAAAAAAAAAAAAAAAAAAAAAAAGCAATAAAAAATATATATTTTTTAAACTGAACATTTGGTGAAAAAATAGGCTGAGTCAAAAACTGTAGAACAGGAGAGCTGGACGTGCCATAAGCTAGAACATTCTGATGGTTTTCTTCACTTAACGCAGAGATTCCTCCGCTTGCTTCTCAGAGGAACTGTTTCCTTCAGTCCCTGAGGATATATCAGTGGCTGCTTACGAGGCTGACTTTCTGCTGGTGGACGTGCCTGACACTCAAGTTCACGGTCACGTGTAAGCTCTCAAGTTCACGGTCATGTGTAAGCTCTTAAGATGAAAGATGCTGCTGGGCTCCCACCCACTGCGCCTCTCCCCAGGAATTCATCATTAGCCTTTCCGTTCTCATCGCTTAGATGTCACGTCAGCGCTTGTGATGTCTTTCAAACACGGCTCAGGTTCAAGAGCCTCCACCCGCACACTCAGCCAAATCAAAGAGAGAGCCTGCTACACGGCTGCGCCTCTGAGGGGGGTAGCTAATGATGAAGAGGGAACCCCAGACAGGGAACTCCCACGCACTGATGAAAGAAAAATCCACCGCTAGGTCCCTAATGTTCTTAAGAATAATGAACAACAGCCGAGACTGGTTTGGCTCAGTGGATAGAGCGTTAGCCTGCAGATTGAAAGGTCCCAGGTTCGATTCTGGTCAAGAACAAGTACCTTGGTTGCAGGCATATCCCTAATGGGGGGTGTGCGGGAGGCAGCTGATGGATATTTCACTCTCATTGATGTTTCTAACTCTCTATTCCTCTCCCTTTCTCTCTAAAAAAAATCAATAAAATATATATGTTTAAAAATAATAATTATTATTAAAAATAATAATGAACAACATAAACTGATGAATAAAAATAGAACCAGAGTCATAGAGGCATTGAACAGACTGCTCAACCTATGAGGGAAGGCGGAGGGGGGGGGTGCGAGAGGGGAGGGAGGGGAAGAGATCAACCAAAGGCCTTGTGCTCATGCAGAAGAGGAAAGAGCACGTGATGGGGGGTGGGGGCGGTTGGGGAGAGGTCCATGGGGTGGGGAAAGGAGACTATGTAATACTTTAAACAATAAAGAATTTAAACTTTTTTTTAAAGGATTATGAGAGGTGATTTTAGTTTTGTTTCATAGGAGTCGTCCAAAGTCTGACCTTCGGTCACCACCTCCATTAGCGTTTATCCGCTGTTCAGCCAGCCTGCTTAGCCTACGAATTAATGCCATGTCCGACCCTCACTGGAAATGTTTACAGAGGGGATTATGATGGGAAGGTAAGGCTGAGGCACTTTAGGAGGGCGCAAGCATAATCATGCCAATGGTGAGGGCTTATCTGTCTCGGATGCACACACTAAAAACCAACACAAATGCTATCCGCATAGCGTTTCATGCTTTCCAAGTTCTATTTTTAAAAAATATTTTTTTATTTTTACAGAGAGGAAGGGGGAGGGATAAAGAGTTAAAAACAGCGACGAGAGAGAATCGTCGATCAGCTGGCTCCTGCAAACCCCCTGCTGGGGATGTGCCCGCAACCAAGGTACGTGCCCTTGACCGGAATCGAACCTGGGACCCTTCAGTCCGCAGGCCGATGCTCTTCCCACTGAGCCAAACCATTTAGGGCTGGTTTCCCAAGTTCTAAATTGGTTCCTGTTGCCGTGGAACCTGACCTTTTTCTCGGCGAGACATTCTCTGGTTTCCTCATTTCAAAGATTAACTTTTAAATTTCAATTTCCTAGAATTTGCCCCCAAGATCGATGAGTGCATTTCAGAAAGGCGAGAGGAGAGGCAGTCCCCTTGCCCCCTGCCTTTGCCTCTGAACAGGTTTATTGATCTTTCCACCCCTCGGAACAGCAGGCGGCAAAGAAAGGGAAATTCAACGTGGCTTAGTTCTGACTCGCCCTCTACAGATGGAAGGGATGTGCGAAATCGCCACCTTCCTGCTGATCGCTCCCGACAAGGGCAGGCACCTCGGTTGCAGGCACATCCCCAGTAGGAGGTGCACAGGAGGCAGCTGGTCCATATTTCTCTCTCATCGATGTTTCTAACGCTCTATCCCTCTCCCTTCCTCTCTGTTAAAAAAATCATTAAAATATATTTTACAAAAAGAATGGTTGGTTCACAGACTGCTAAGTGAAATTTACATTCTGCTTTTCGAAGCATCCTTTAGTTTGCTCTGAACCACCTTGTGACACGGAAACTGGAGTTCACAGCAGCTCCCTTTTACAGGTGACAGGACCAAGGACCGGAAAATCGTGTCCACAGACTCAAGTGGACACAGGTGTTAAGAAGCAAACCCCCTGTTCAGGCACGTTTCAGAGCATGGCAACAGAGAACGACATTTCAAAGAAACATCCTGCTAAGTCAAAG